GAAGAGGTGTAGTTGAATTCCAGGCAATTTGGTGAAATTACAAATATTATGATCCATATTTCGTTGTATTTGTCCCTGAAGTATTTCTCCCGTAAGGAAATGTATTATTTTGGGGTTTTGCAAGCCAATTATTGTAATACGAACAGGGGATTGATAGAGAGATCTGCCTTTGTTCTGCCCCATTACCTAAGCTTTCATTCTCACTGGGTGCTTGGTTGGTGCTATTTATTTGTTGCCAGTGGTGACAACAGTTGCTGAAGGAAGCGAAGAGATTAACACTACTTGTGAGAATCTCTTAATAGATACAATACTTCGGTCTTCTGCTCCCTCTCAGGAGTACACAGTGGATGCACTTGTGTTTCAGCGGATGTTTGGCTTTGAGCTGGCACCACCTCAGTCATGTCACTGAACAAGGATCCATTGTGTGCCTGAATTCAAAGGCTTCCAGCGTTATGGTTTGAAGAGTCCCTAACTGATCATCAGAGAAATATTCCCTCATTGAGAGTAGGCAAGCATCACGGGTTCACTCTTGTCCAACGTTAGTAACATCAACCCACCAAGCAGATTGGACTCACCCTCTGAATTAGATACAAAGGTCCCGTAGAAACTATGGCACTTTGCATCTCTGACATTCCTCAGGCACATGACTTTCTATGTTGACCGTACACCACTGTGTGAAGTGCAGTATGGGGTCAAGTCCACCCTTGCTGCATTGCAGTTTGTATGACTCTATGTTTACTTCCACTATCTGCTCACGCTTTGAAAGAATTCCAGTCTGTCACCTGTTGATGCTCTTTTATGTCTTTAGAGCTTGTAGCTGGGGGTTCCACAAGCTCTTGCTGTAGTGAAGGTGGTGTACATAGTGGATGCAGTGGTGCACATTTCTCTGTGTTAGGACCAATGCTGGTCCGTGGTGTGGTGATCAGGGTGATTCTGGTTCTTGCAGTGGTTATGATAATGATGGATCTTCCTTGCAGATATCTGCCTCAGCTGTTGTCCTTGAAATCCTGATAGTCTGGGCTGATCTATAAACAAATGAAATCCATGAGACTGCATTATTAGCTGCTAGGTTTGTATAAGAACAGAAATATTGTAATATATACTTCACAGATTAGTGATTTTAAGTACTCCGAGATGCCAACCGATTTGAAGGGTGCTATATAATAATAATAATAATAATAATAACAATCCTTGCATTTGATATAGCACCTTATCACGTCTTCAAGACGTCTCAAAGTGCTTCACAAGATACACTGTAAAGTGTAGTGACTGTACATTTTCTGGGTGAAACGCGGCAGCCAATTACGCACAGCAGTGTCCCACAAACAGTTGTGGATTGAAGTGACCAATTTATTATTATTACTTTTTTCACAGAATTATTATCCCCGGAAAAGCAACCCGCCAATCGACTATCAAGCGGGTTCCAACTTACTGTTGGTAAACAGAGGCGTGTGGTGTAAGGAAACTTGCCCAACATTTCGCCCTGCCAGGAATCGGACCCAGATCTCTCGCTTACAAGGCGAGTGCTCTAACCAGTGAGCTACAGGACTTCACAGAGAGACAGTAACAGGGAGTGACACTTAGTAACAGACAGACAGTAACTCACACACTCTCTCGCTCTTCCTCTTTTGGGACAGACAGTGACAGAGAGTAACAGCCAGGGAGTAATTCACACTCTCTCTCACACTCTTTAACAACAGGGAGCCACACACAGTGACAGACAGACAGTGACTGGATAGGCAAAAAGTTCTGCCTTTTTTTCCATGTGATTTTGAGGATCTCAAGTTGTCAAGTCCTCTTCTGACACTGACCACTGGTGGAGGCGTTTTCCCTGAAGCCCTTGAGGGAACTGTTATGTTTTTGTACATCTATGTGAAGTGTAACCAGGATAAGATAAGTGGCGGGAGGTCAGGTTAAAGACTAAATGCATCCTCCTTCATGACTGTTTCTTTTATATTATCAAACTCTTTTCTGACAGTCTGCCTGGTGGAGTATCTGATGGTTCAACGATCTCTTCCCAGTCTGTTCAGTAGCCGTGAGATTAGTCAGTTGGTGCTGGTACCAAAAATAGAAGTCCAATTTCTACTCTGTGTAACGTGGCTTTATTGTTCATTATTGGAACTGTAGGACTGTGCTCAATTTTATGCTAGGCATATTACATCACAATAAATTATGTCTGGTGCGTTAATTCACCAGATAGCTGATGAAATAAGCAAAAATACACAAAAGCTCTGATTTACTGTCCAATTGGCAATAGCTGCTATGGCCAATGACACCTCCTTATGAAGCCGATGATGAACGTGCGACTTTTTGAAGTACTTTTTTTTCCCCACTTAAATGTGTTTTGTTCCAGTGAGTGAATACTGCAGTAAACTAGTCTTGGACTGAATGTGAAGATTATTACTTGGCATCTTTAGAGGAAGGTCAGTCACAAAGAAGAAAAATTGCATTTAGTGGTCAGAAACCATCACAAAAGGAAGATTGTGAAATCCTAGGAATCGGAAAATGGAACAAAGGGAAAGAAATCAAGTGTGAGAAAGGAAACATGTACATTATTGATACAATAGCCTCATTGGAAGGGATGTGAGCAGGATCTCTGTGGGGCTGAGCTGGCTCCAAGGCGATAAACTTTGTAACAAATTGCATTAATTGAGTCAACCCTCTACGGCCATCTCGATAATCCAGTTTCTTAAGCCAGACGGGTCCACAGTACTCCAGGGCACTGCTGATGACACACCGGCCAGCTTGGCTTATTGGAAAGACTTGGAGGAGTAGGCCAGTCACTGGGAGCAGGGATTCTTCCCACCCTGCAAGCTAAGGTCCTACCGGGTGGGCTGGTCCTAGCTGGTCAAGTAGCGGGAAGCTCGGCAGATATTACTCTCAATGGCAAGCTGTGTGGTTTTAGCTGGTTAAACTTCAGGAGCGTCCAAAAGCACACACTGGGGTCCCATGGCAGACTGCATCCCTGCTCGGAGAGAGTGCACATTCCATTCCAGACACAGGGAAATTTCCATACGTGTGTGCAACTCAGTCTGGTTTGGTTACTCTTAAGCATGGTGATGGGTTTCACACTGTAACCAAACACGGTTAACCAGAAACAAAGTAGATTAAAGCAATGTTTTTTCAAAAAAAAATTTTCTTCCTCTGTATACACCTTTCTGCCAGTGAATCACAATCTCATGGTTGTCTTTTCTAATAATTATTAGAGTATTTTAGTTAGTTTTCTTCTTCGGACTGGAAGATTACAGATTGATGATTTGCCAGTAACTCCTCACATTGTACTCGCTGATAAACAACAGAGTAGAAAGTCACAATTAGTAATAGCAAATTTGAATTTATGCCAGTTAATAAAAAGCGATTGAGTCTATAAATTTCAGGATACTTTAGGAATTTTTAGCAGTTGATGACTATGCTTTTGATTAAGTAAACCTATATATAATCGAGAGAATCCACTTTGTTTTTATCACTTTCCATTTTAGGATTAAGTTTGTGAATTTATCACCGACTCAAGAATTATCTGAAATCTATCCTGTAATTGCAAACCTTTGGTTCATTGGATTCCGAGATAGGTTTATATTAGGTGATCAACATTAAGCTTCCACATGTTTAATCTTACTACTGTAAATTGATGACCCACAGAGGTGCACTTTCACCTAGATTATTTAAAAGCTAGTTGCTACTTTCTGTACTATATTCCAGATAACTGTCCCAAAATACTATTTACTGGCCCCAAACAAGTCGATGCTGCTTGGATTTTAAGAATTGTATGTTTCTTGCAAAATAAAGTAACGCGCCACAATTATTTTTAACTTCTTGGAAAAGCCATTTGATTTATTAATCTACATTTGCGATTTAATTTGGTCTCTCTGGTACATCAGAACTGCCCCTTGATATATAACCGATTCGATCTTTTATTTCCTCAGCAAGCAGTAATAGATATGTGCTTGTGACATATTTAAAGCTTATTAATTGTTAATGTAGCTTCTTGAAATCTAATCTCAGCCTGATTATTTCCATGCCTTTATTGTTTATAAAAGAGCATTGGGCACTCTGTTGCAATTGTCTCTTGCTCAGCCTCGGGAGACCCGATCCGCTGTTTGTATCTGGGAGTCGTTCTTGTGCGGCTCTTCAGTACTGTAATTCATACTTGTGTGCATGGCCTGCACTCCGCTATGAAAACGGCACTAGCCTGAAGTTAATGCTTTAGATTATTACCCAGTACACACCAGGGAATCGCTATGTGCTGGCTTTTTAGTTCCGCAGCAACCTTTTGACTCTGCTTTTTTTTTCATTAATCTCATGGACAATTTCCAGGTACTTAAGCTAATCCTGTTTTTCTGGTGTTGCAATGTTATTCTTTTATGTAGCATGCTTAACATGTTCAACTCATAATATCTCTGTACGTAAAGGGTGAAAACAACCATTCTCTTGTGACAGTCTTGCATGTCAGAGTGGGAACAGTGAATTTTCCATGCTTCTCTGCACAGGTTTTCCCGAATAACCTTGCCTCAAAGACACTGCATACACAGTTTTGTTATACAGTAGAACCAACCACAATTCCTGTTGCAAGCAAACATCCACCGGCATTTCAAGCCATTCACACAAGATGTCTATTAAATATTTGCTGCCTCACAATATTTATTTGTTCATTTTGCACCTTCACACTGATGAATTGATGGCTTTTTTAATCCGAATGTGAGTGCAGTTTATCAGACAGTTGGTTTTTTTTACATGAACACATCAGTAAATTGCAATAAATATATCCTTATCTTTCTGCATTGATTATAATATCTCAGAAACACACACACACACACACACACAAAATCCTGAACGTATACAGCTCAGCAAACGTGTGTCTTAGTATTTGGCTTGATTGCAAGCAGTCCTCTGAAGGATTTTCAGTGCCAGCATTTACCCACTTCTCTCTGCTCATTACCATTTTTTAGACATTTCTGAAAGAGATTTACAGTGAATGCATTTTTATTCCGTTCACCTTCCAGATGGATCCCGTGCAGAAAGCAGTCATCAACCACACGTTTGGGGTTTCAGTTCCTCCCAAAAAGAGGCAAATTATTTCATGCAATATCTGCCAGCTGCGATTCAACTCTGAGGTGAGTGCCCTTGTGCATTTGGCTATTGAAACATTCTGCTCTGCACTCTTCATTTTAAATCTTTGCAGCTGCAGTCCCTTTTATATATCCCTAACACTTATAGATCGGTGTTAACAAGGACCTGTGCCACATAGATGTACAGCATGTTGCTTTAATTTAGTAAGTGCCTAACTGGTGGTTAGAAAATGTGGCACATCTTATGTTGTTGAAGCAGCTGTGCAGAAAGGTGATAAGTGCAGTACACACCTGTTTCAAGACTGGCGTTGACACTGATCTACGCTATTAATTACCCTGTGTAACTTACCCAGGTAGAGTGTTTCTTACTGGGTGATTATGAATAATGCATTGAGTTTACAGTATGTACCTTTGTGCCACAACACTGAAGCGATTACACATTTCTGTGCACTTTATATATACATATATATTTTAAAACAGTTTTGATTGTCGTTAAGGAAAATGTTTCCAATTCTCACCTCGTATTTTTGCCGTACTATCGATTCAAGAGAGTGAGCTTATTCCAAGCAAGTTAGTGTGTTTGCTGTCCGCAAGGTCATCTTCCTCAGCTAATTGCCCTTCATGGTTATGCGGGAGCCCTCCAAACAGTAAATATGGATTCTCTTCAAAAACCTCATTTGCAAGGCATTAGGACTGACTTGGACTATTTTTAGGCAAGTGGTACTGATGGTTCCTTCTTCAGAAGCAGCTATTATTCCTGAACGATTTCTATTCATTATTTGAGTTCGGAAAGTATGTGTCAGTCTTTCTTTTTATTTTATTTCTTTTAAAAAAAGGACAACAAAAAGCACGCTGTATGTCCTCAGTGTGACACTGAAAGGACTATAAATAAATACAGACTGTTGGTGTCAAGTGTATTGAATGTAGGCAGCAGAATTCATTTTAGACTCAGTGGGCATTGCTAGCGATGCACAAGGGAATGCGTCATGATAGCCAAGGCTGTTATACAATACACTCGTTAGGTTCTCTTTTGTTTCAGATCGCAGCGTGCTATTACAAGGGTTAGAGAATGGAAAGCCACTTAGTGATAGTTTGTACAATATCTTTTGCAGCTGGACCAGTGGGTTGATAAGAGGATGATTTGTTCCGATGAACAGCACTGCAGCACCTTTTCCTTCCCTTTCAGGAAAACTTGGAGTGTTAAAGTGTCTGTGCTAGAGAGTTGCAGTTAATCTTTCCCATTGTGGATTTTATAATGTGGTTTTGCCCTTTTTGTAATCGATATTGCATCAGTTTATGGTGACATTGTAAGAGAATTTATTGTGTGTCTTTGCAAATTGATTTTTAGGATGTATTTACACAGCATGTACAATTAATCTAGAAATTGCGGGAGCCTTAGTAGAACTACAATTCATCAGCATCCAAGGATGCACACTCTACCCTGCTAAGCCAGTCTGGAACCTTGGGGTCTTGTTTAACCCTCAACTATCCTTTCTGCCCCACATCTGTGTCATGATCCGCTCTGCCTTCCCCCACCTCCGCAACATCGCCCGGCTCCACCACTGTCTCGCACCGCAGGCCGCCGAAATCCTCATATACACGCATTCATAACATCCAGGTTTGACTACGCAAACTCCCTGCTTGTCAACCTCCCCAACTCCTCCCTCCATAAGCAGCAGATTATCCAGACCTCTGCAGCCCATGTCCACTTTCGCACCAGGCTCCGTGACTCTATCCTTGCCCGACTGTATGGCTTCCCAGCACACAGAGGATACAGTTCAAGATCTTGATCCTCACCTGCAAAGCTCTCCATGGTCTTGCTCCCCCTACCTCTGTGACCTCCTAACCCCCTACGAACCTGCCCGCTTCCTCTGCTCAGTGGGCTCTGGCTTGCTTCACGTTCCCCTGAAACACTGACTGTCCAGCGCCTTGGGACGTCCTCCCGACGTGAAAGGCGCTATCCAAATGTAATTTTGTTGTTGTTGTACAGGGTGACCAAAAAGTCGATATATGTACCCTATTATCTAAAACAAATCATCATTTCTTTAAGATTTATTATTTTTGGCCACCCTGTAGAATGCCTCAAAACGATGGAACTCTCTTTCTCAATCCCTCCGCCTTGTCTCCTCCTTTCCCGCCTTTAGATTCACATCTGAAGACCTTCCTCTTCGACAGAATCTATGGTCACCTCCCCCTTCTTCCCTGCTCAGCATCAGGCACCAGCACTGATAAGCGCTCGGAAATGCTCCCACTCATTAAGAGCGCTATATAAATACAAGTTGTTTTTCTAGAAAACAGAGGAATTTGCAAGGCCTTGCAAAAGAAAATGACTGCCTCCGGACGGACAGCGCTGAACCAAAACCTGACTTGCACTTTGCACCAATGAAAAAAAAATCCTGATTTTCTCAGTGTCTTAAATCAAATTTTAAATAGTAATAGTAACGCATCTGCCAATTTGGATTTCAACTGATTACAGATTTGTGGAACTGCTGTGAAGTGAAAAGATGATGATGAAAGAAATGGGTGGAAGTGATTTGAGCACATGATGTGCTTATTAATGCGGCACTGATATCCTATGCAGAAAACTGTGTGGTGCAAAAAAAAGAGGGCTAAAATCTCAACGCAATGGGTATAGTGGAAAAGTGGAGTAATACTACCGTGAAGATACAATACAACACAATACAAATTTAGCTTTATACATTGGCTTTCACATCGAGAGGACATCCCTAAGCACTTAACAGTTTTGGCTGGGCACCTGAACTGAGGGTGGGAGCCTAGAGGGGGTGGAGTGGGGAACGGAAGGATGATCGACAGTACAGTTAGTGTCTGTCACACAGAATGAGATCCTTACAAGGGATACTCTCAGCCCTTGACCGTGTAGGCCCAACAGAAGATTCAGACTGCCCAATATTCTGCTTAATTGATTAGCTATAAAGTTATGATTAGCCTGCCATTCGGATGAGGCGTTAAACCAAGGTCCCGTCTGCCTGTTCAGGTGGATGTCAAAGATCCCATGGCATGATTCGGAAAAAAAAAGAGAAGAGAATTGCTTCCGGTGTCCTGGCCAACAATCCCCCAAATAAATTGATAGCTCATTCCATGACTGCTTGTGGGATATTGCTGTGCGTTTCGTCCACAAAATACACACGTCAATCCACTTTAATCCTGTGAAGTGCTTTGGGATGTCTCAACAACGTGAAAGACATGAACCTTAAAACTGCGGTATATTAAATGCAAGGATTATTATAATTATCATTACTTCTGGTTGCCAGGCCTTCTGTTGTTCTTCTCTTTAGGTGAGCACACGTATTTCCCTTCAGGCCTATTACCTGCATGTTTTGTCACCTTTCAATGTCGCTCAGTTCAAAGAGTTGCTGTTGTGACCATGGATTCTAGCACATGAATTCCCGAGGGAGTATTTGTCTGTTTTTTGTTTCCATGCCAGTTTCCTACCTTATGTTTTTTGAAAGATGCTACTCTATAGAACAAATACAGTGAAACACTCCCTTTCTGTATTCAAACCTTGCTCAGATACTCCACATTTTACAGGGAGACTGGTAAGCTATACCCTGGGGATAATAAAAAGCTATTCTGTACCTATGGAGTTGTACCAACAACAACAATAAAATTACATTTATATAGCGCCTTTCATGTCGGGAGGACGTCCCAAGGCGCTGGGCAGACTGAGTTACGGACCCGAGCTACTACTACTGACCATTCAAATTGACCCCTAATAGTCCTGTGGTGTACAAGTGAATGCTTCCTGCTAACTGGTGGCGTGTTGCATTTATTTGTATTCACTGGTATGGTGTTACTGCAGTTATTTGGAAAGTTTAAGGGAAGGAAAAACAGTTTAAAGCTGCAAGCGCACTGAACGCATTTCACATGCAGCACTTTGGGCATGTGCCGGGGTTTATTTTTTTTAAAAAAAAGTTTATTTTCAAATTCTGACCATATTGAGGATAACCGCAGAGGTGAGCGAGCGCGCAAAGTCCTGACACACGTTACTGGTGTAGGAGATAAAGCGAGGGCATCAGCGAGTCAGACTAGCAGCGATCATGCTTTTTGGCTGTTGCTGGCTTCACTTTTGGTGCCCCCTCTCTTTACAGTGCCGAGAAAGCAAAGTCCCCCAGTCAGGTTGGTGCCTTCAGCTTTCGGAAGCCCAGCAAAAAGGTAAGTTCCCAAAATGCAGTGGCAGATTTTATTAAAAAAAATGCACCATCATCTTTTAGTGGTGACCAGGACCCCAAGGACGTGCTCATTTCACTTCTGTTCGCTGCTGTGAACAAGTATGAGAAATGTCTCGATTCCGAAGGGTTTGACCTCACAAATACATTTGCTTCTCTGACACAGAGAGACAGACGAGGAGAGAGAGCAAACCTTGAATGCCTTTTGTGCCCTGTGTGTAGCTATGCACCTTCAGGGATAATACTGACCAGTCAGGAGGTTATAGCATAGGTTGCTAGATAATACATGAACAAACCACTGTTCAACCAACCTCCCTTTGTGTTGCGTATCATTCCTTGGCACAAATGACTGAAGAGGTAGATGGAACATGATCAAAAGTGCTGCATGTATGTGACTTACTTGCCGTTGTTTTCAGTGTGTCAATAAGAGTTGGTGCCTGTGTACAAGCGATGGCTTTGTCAATGTGAGCGTCTATTTACTTTGAAACCTGCCAAATTTCTTAATGAATCCTCATGTTAGTTTTTGCAGTGATCGGTTTCATTTAATATTTAAAGTAGTTCAACGTAACTAATATATTTGCTTATTGTGTTTTAATGCAGTAGTTTATTGCAGTAATAGTAAAGCACCGGTAATGCTACGCTTGCCAGTAAAATCTTTTGACAAAGAATAAATGGTTTCCTGGGTGTTTTGGTTCTTTCCGGGCAAGTTCAATGTTTCTGTTCTGTCCTATTCATATTTTCTACCAGGTAATTTCTTCTGATTCACACTGTCTCTCAACTTAAATATAGAACGGTGACCATTTTGCTGTTGTTTGAAAATTGATACAAGTGTCATCTAATCCCGTGTATCTTAAGAGT